TGCTAGGCACTGGCTGATGCGTGTGCGAGGGTTGCACGGTGCGTAGCATGATGCGAGGGAAGGGGCCAGCATGCGTGGCTCGCTAGCAGCACGCATGCTAGCTATGCTAGCAATGGTGTGCGAGAGGTGCTGTGAGAGATGCGAAGGACAGCACCAGCGCCTAGCACTGGGAAGCACCAAGCATACGAGGTTGCTGGGCAGGCTGGTGCTAGCTGGCTGGCACTGCTAGCTGGCAGCAGCCCAACAGCCCTTTTGGGTGAGGCGGTTTTGTGAGGGTGGGGACCAAGGCTTTGGGAAAGCCTTGGGGAGCAAGGCAATGGTCCCCCCCCCCCCCACCTCTCCATGGTCCTCACCTAACTTTCTCTCTCCCTTTGACACTTGTTGCATTGTGATTGAATTTAGTTATTGATTTATTTTTGAAATAAATTAATAGCAAAATATTCTTTTTCCCACATTGGTTGGGGAATGAAGTTCAAGGGTTCATTTCCCTATAAGTACCAAGCTTGGGTATTGGGAAATGAAAAAAACCTTGAGTGGAATTAAAAATGCAACTCTAAGTAAGAGTAAACCTTTGATTCGTAAAACTCATAGTTATTTTGTCCGGGTGTTGACTAACCTTCAAGACTTAGGACGCTCGGGTCAGGTCGAGGGTACGATCCGTCGGAGATCTCGTGCTTTCGGGATTTTGAAGTAAGAGCTCTTTGGGAGCGAAGCACGCATCCAAGATATAATTCTTGTTCTTAATCTTGTTTGATTAAGTTTAATATTCTTGTTAATTGTTTCAATTAAGGGGCGGGTCTTGGTGGGTTTCCTTCCGCGTAGTGTCGGGTCACTACGAAACCCTACAGCGGTATCGGAGCCACACTCCTTTTAATTTTTGCAATTATTTTTAATTATGGTGTTTTAACAGAATTTAATTTTTCTGGTTCATGTTCTTCTAATTAGATTAGATGCTCGTTTTAATTAATTTTTAAAACTCGATTTTATTTTCGATTTGGTTTTTGAACCCAGATTTTGGCTCAAAAATAGTGATATTTTAGTGGAATCGACATTCTGGAACAGATTCAACCCTTTCAGCACTGTCTAGAAACCAAATTCGAACCAGAAACCCAATTTTTCTGGGGTTATTCATTTTTCAACGAAAATTTTAATTCTTTTTTAAGCCTTGATTAATGCAAGCACTACAAGGTTAGATTAAATGCACATTTGCATCACTAATCTACTGGTTTTAAAATATCCTTGAGCATATTAATGGAGTTTTTATTAGTGCTTAAGTTGATATACCAATTTTTCACATAAACTTGTTTTTCATAAATTTTGCAAATAAATTGCAATAAAGTGTGAAAACTTGTTGTGATCTTGTAATTTTAAGTTCCCAAATAATGTTAAAGTTCTAATATTTAAAGGTTTAAATGATTTGAACCCTAACCCTAACCCTAAATTCCATGTTAAACAAAGTTTGGATTTTTTCATGTTTGGTTGATTAAAATCCATCAAGTTCAATTACTTGTGAGTAAAATTTGATTAATCTTCACATTGGAAGATGTAATCTTGGTATTTTACACAAGTATGCAAGTTGGAAAATTTATATCATTGGATGGTTAATTCATTTTTCCAACTTCCATTTGTCAAATCCATTATTAATTTGCATATTGGCAAGATTAACTTTTGGACATAGGTCATTTTATTTTAAGCATAAAGTTAGACCCAATTTTGTTCAAAATTAAAATTTTTGGATAATTTAGGCTTGTGCACCAATAAAATAAATTTTATTTAAGTAGGACTTAATTTAATTTTATTTTATTTTTCCTCAAATTGATCCTAAAATATAATTTAGAATTAATTTATGTCACACATAAATCGAAATCAAAATCCTGAGAAATGCACGCAAATCGATGCAAAACCGCAAGCGTCACCAAGGCTAGCCGGCTGCCTAGCAACCCACATGTAGGCTGCCTGTTGGTGTGCCTTAGTCGTATGCAACCAAAAATATCACAACTAAGCTAACTGCAAATAAACGTAGTTAGGGAAGTCGAGTTCGAATCCACAGGGAAAAAGGGACTAATAACTGGAAACCTAAGTGGAAATACTCTAGGACGGTAGTAACCTAAGTAACGAGGGGGGTTTTCACGAGCAATGATGATAAATGAACTAAGTAAGAACAACGAACGTAATGAATAGGTAATCAATGAGAAGAACGGTCTTGGTTATGCGAAATCCACTAATGAACATACAAATTGATCATAGAAGTCTCCTCAATCAAGCTCTATTGAACACCTTGTTGTAGAATTCCTAGATTCTAAATTCTTATAAATAGTTAGAAATAGCAAAGCGCTCCTTTCTAACCCTTTCCAATGCACAATTCAAGACAAGCGCTCTAAATTATCCACAAGAAGAAAATAAACGAAGAAATCAACAAGGATTGAATAAATTAACACAAGCGGTCTAATTTCTTCAATAATATTATTCCCTCTTCAAGTTATCAACCAAAAGCATGCATCAATAACCTAAAGTTGCTACTTTGGAAAGATTAATTAGATGCAAGCGAATCCAATAATTCTAACCTAGCAATTGATTAAAGCAAATCATGAAATTAATTCAAGGAACAATATATATTCAATAGATATTAAGAGAAGAAAGATCTCACAATTCGTAGCTAAAAGCTTCAATCTTTAACCAAGAATCCGGAAGATTAAGCTTCCATGGATTCTAATTCCAAAACAAAGAATTCTGAAAATTCCAAGAAAACCCTAGAAAGCTTTTTTTTCTCAAAACTTAATTCTCCTTTTCTAACTTAAAACTTAATTAAAACTAAGCTATTTATATGTTTCTATATTTTAATAACATAACACAATAATAATAATAAAATAATATCCAAAACACGAGCCAAAACAAAGCCAAATTGCTGAATATTAACCAAAACAGCCCGAATTTCTGCCAGAGCCGCTGCCAGCTGCTCTGGACCCGCTGGCAGCTGCTCTGGCAGCCCTCACTCTGGTATACCCGCTGCCAGCGGCTCTGGCCAGCTGGCAGCGGTTCCTGCTGTTTTTGCCTTCTTTCCTTGCTTCTTCTTCTTGCTTTGCTTCACCTTTTCCTCAAGCTTTCTTCCTTGCTCTTCCATGCTCCATCACAACTCTCAAATAACGAGCCAAGCTCCATCCTTCTTACATAACTCTTCATTGGTTCCCGAGCTCACTCACTCACTTATACTCATAAATCCCGCCTTTTGCACATAAGTGAGATCACAGCCCAAAACTCACAAAAGCTAACAAAAGTACATATAAAGCATCAAAACACACCCTAAAATGCTTCTCTCAACCCATGATAAGAAGGCTTATCAAATTCCCCCATGCTTGAACCTTTACTCGCCCTCGAGTAAACTTAGAGAATAAAACATATCCTCCTCACTAAGGTTCAAAACAGAAGATGGTGGAATCAAACTAGCTCTACGCACTCAAACTCAACAAAACATCCTAGTACTTATCAACCAATCACAATCACACTCCCCCATACTTCACACTTTGAATCTCCCTTTTTTCTTATTTATCAATTCATCCCCAAAATCAACTTGGAACGATAAACGCATAGCCATGAGTATGAATATTCTCAACCGCCTAAAGAAATGAAATTTTTTATAAAATTGGGCAAACAAAAACTCAACTTAACCAAAAATCTCATAAAAACACTTCCACATTCAAGAGTGAAAACAAACAACTCATGCTCTCAAATTCCTAAGATGATCAACAAATTCCCCCAAAATCTCAACTATCTCCCAAAATAACCAAGATGAAACCTACCCCGACACCTCCTTATATCTCCTCCCCTTATGACACCGACTCCGGCAAATAGATGCGAAATTTCCTTGAAAAATCAAATTCATGAACATTTCTCTCTTTTTTCTCTCATTTTGCCTAGGAGCCCTTTCGGGTTTTCATCCTAGCCTCTCATCTTTTTTCCAAATCTCACTACCTCACCCGCTCATTAGCCACTTTTTTGCTTAGGTCGCCCTTTCGGGTTTTCAACCTAACCGGGCCCCCATTTTTGCCTAAGCCGCCTTTTCAGGTTTTCGACTTAGAGGGCTTCTTTTTCTTTTTCTTTTCTCGTTTTTTTTTTCAATTTTTCTTCTTTGTTTTTTTTTTCTTTTTTTTCATTGAAACATAATTGAAATAGCTATACAAAACCATTAAATTAGGGTAACTATACAAATTTCAAAAATATGCAAGAATTGCTTCCCCCCCTACTTGAATGAGACATTGTCCTCAATGCAAGAACAACAACAATAAAAACAAAAGTAAGGGAAAGGGAAGAAATAAGTACCACCTTAATGGGAAGGATTCCCGAAGTTGGAAGATTCGGCATTATCAAGGATTTCAAAACTCTCGAGAAGAAAAATGAACTATGGGGACCCCAAGTGTTGCCCATGGGAAGATTATTCCAACCAAACGCATTTCTAATTACCGCATAAGGCATGACATAGTTCTTATTGTTAAAATTGAAAGAAATTCTTGACATCCCTTAGTCAAAGTGGAAAGGAATTCATCTATACCTCACATAAGTAGGTGCGCTCGTGCTCCATCACTTCCTCCAAACCAACCACTTGCAATGCCTCCAAATCGACGACTTTTGTGCATTGCACCATTCTTTTGTGCTGTTGAAGTTGAACCCATGTAGTCTTTTCTTTCGTAGTTAGACGAATGCCCATGAAGTCATTTGCTTGGGGAAAAGAGGGTGATACACCCTCCCTTGAAGTATCCCCTTGCTACCAGCGGCTCCTGCAGGGGCTGCCTCCCAAAGCCTGTTTTTACCTGTTTTGCTCTGTTTTTGCTCACAATACGTACTCCCAAAGCATCCTCCTACATAAATCCACCAAAAGCACTTGGTACATCAAAACAAAAACAATAAAAACTAAAATAAATGAAAACGGGGAAGAGTTTTCGGGTTGCCTCCCGATTAGCGCCTTTGTTTTACGTCGTTGGCTCGACACAACTCATGAAACTTCGTTAATCAATTGATGGCTCGTAGAGATCAATGTTCTCCAAATTCTCGACCTTGAACCCTTCGTAGTATGGTTTGAGCCTTTTTCCATTCACTTTGAACATGTTGTTGGTCTCTAAACTCCGAATTTCTACCGCTCCATGCGGATAGACCTTGTCAACTTGAATTGGACCCTTCCAACGGGAGCTCATCTTGTCATGCCACACCTTATTCTTTGCTTTGTGGTATACCTGGGATAATTTCTTGCCCGGAAATGATGACGGGGTGGGTGTTGCCCCTAGTGGTATAGGTGGAAGCTTGGACTGTTCATTCAATTCCGCCACCTTCACCTGCACATTAGTAGGTATAGAAGAATCCAAACAATCACCAGACACAACATTAGTAATAGGTGTGAGGAGCTCATCCCCATGATCAATGTTAGAAACATCATGCAATATTGGATCGACAACATTTATAGAATATAAAGAATGAGTATCAACAGGATACTTTATGGTATCATAAATGTTATACACAATTGCTTTCCCATCAACCTCCATAGTCAAAGAACCGGTAGACACATCGATTTTTGTCTTAGCAGTCTTTAAGAAAGGTCTTCCTAACAGGATGGGGGCTGCTTGTTTGTCATGTTCCATGTCAAGGACGTAAAAGTCAGCAGGAAAGATCAATCCATCAACCTTAACAAGTACATCTTCTACTACCCCCTTAGGATATACATTGGACCTATCAGCTAACTGAATTACTACCCCTGTTTCATGCAAAGGCCCAAGTTCTAAAGATTTAAACAGGGAGTAGGGAATGACATTGATTGATGCACCTAGGTCCAACATGGCTCGGTGTAATGTGGTGTCTCCTATTGTAACAGGAATAGTAAACATACCAGGATCACCAAATTTTTTCTGGGAGTTTCTTTTGGAAAACTGCAGAAACATGAGCACTCACCTTCACTTTTTCTTTTCCTCCTAACCTGTGCTTTCTCTTGATCGTACACAGTTCCTTCATAAACTTAGCAAAACGAGGAACACTTTTAATCACATTCAAGAGGGGCATATTTACCTCACATTTGCTGAAAGTCTCATAAATATCCTTGTCTTTATCATACCTTCGAGTATCTTGCAAGGCTTCTGGGAAAGGTGGCACAGGCTCATAAGAGGTAAAGGTTGGCGGATTCACCTTAGTTTCTTGTTCTACTTCCTCCTCCTCAACTCCAATCAAGTCTTTAGCCTTCTTAGGTGCAACTACAGTTTCTTAAAACTTTTTGCCACTTCTCAATGTTATTGCATTAACTTGTTGCTTAGGGTTCAGCTCCGTTTGGGATGTAAGCTTTCCAGAGTCCTTAGCTTCAAGTCGGCTTACTGCACTTGAGATTTGACTGACTTGATTCTCCAGGTTTTGAATACTTGATCTGGTTTCTTGTTGAAACTGCATCATATTCTGCTGCATGGTAGAAACATTAGAAGTTAGTGATCTAATCATTTCTTCAGTTGACATATTACCTGAATTAGAGCTTTGGCCTTGAGGTGTTAGGAACGGTGCCCTATATTGCTGAAACTGTTGTTGACCTTGAGCATGCTGATGTTGTTGGTTTCCTTGGGAATTCCCATATCTCAAATTTGGATGATCTCTCCATCCTGGGTTGTAGGTATTTGAAAAGGGATCATATCTTCTCTGCGGACCTTGCCCTTGAAAACCTAAGGCGTTGGCCTGCTCATTCTGCTCCTCTTGTAATTGAGGACATGCATCAGTGGGATGTCCCATGGAGGTGCATAAACCACAAGCATTCAGTTGCTGTGGATTCCTTGAGTTCACCATGAACTCACGCATCATAGAAGTCAAATCAGCTACTTTACTCTCTAACTCAGTTGTATTCGAATTTGCTAAATTCACCTGGCGCGTGGGAGTTCTCTGACTGAATTGCCTAGAATTTTCTGCTAGCTCTGCAATCAACCTAGTTGCATCTCTTGGAGTCTTATTCACTAGCCCTCCACCACTTGCTGCATTCACCATCCTCAAGTCATCATCAGTTAGACCTCCATAGAGTATAGGATGAGGTCTTGATCGGAATACCCATGGTAAGGACAACTAGCACACAATCTCTTAAATCTCTCCCAATACTCATACAAGGATTCATCTTCCTTCTGATCCACATTGCTGATAGCTTTCTTAAGGCTTGCAGAAATAGTGGCTGGGTAGTACTTCTCAAGGAAACACTTCTTTAAATCTGCCCAAGTTGTTATGCTACTTGGGGGAAGATAGTAAAACCAATCCTTTGCTGCATCTTTGAGAGAAAAAGGAAATGCTCTCAACTGAATTTGTTCATCAGTCATCCCAATCGGTTTCATGCTAGTGCAAACCACATGAAATTCTGCCAGATGTTTATTCGGATCTTCGCCTTTCATGCCATGGAATGCCGGCAATAGATGAATTAGACCGGATTTGATCTCAACATTAGTACCTTCCTCCAACTGCTAGTATGCAATGCACAACGGTTGTTGGTTCAAGTTGGGAGCTGTGAGTTCTCTTAGAGTTCGATTGTCAGCCATCTCCTCTTCTTCTTGAATATTGAAGGAGTACGTTGATTCACTGGGGGTTGTTCTTGCCTCTTTTCGCAACCTGGAAATATTCCTTTCAATTTCTGGATCAAACTGCAAAACTTCTTTGTTAGCAGAACGGGTACTTATCATACCCTAGCGAACAAACAAAGAAAGATAGCTAAGAACAGTCCTAAAATAAATACTACTAAGATAAACAATTAAAAAGTAACGCCTTAGTTCCCCGGAAACGGCGCCAAAATTTGGTGTGCCTCAGTCGTATGCAACCAAAAATATCACAACTAAGCTAACTGCAAATAAACGTAGTTAGGGAAGTCGAGTTCGAATCCACAGGGAAAAAGGGACTAATAACTGGAAACCTAAGTGGAAATACTCTAGGACGGTAGTAACCTAAGTAACGAGGGGGGTTTTCACGAGCAATGATGATAAATGAACTAAGTAAGAACAACGAACGTAATGAATAGGTAATCAATGAGAAGAACGGTCTTGGTTATGCGAAATCCACTAATGAACATACAAATTGATCATAGAAGTCTCCTCAATCAAGCTCGATTGAACACCTTGTTGTAGAATTCCTAGATTCTAAATTCTCATAAATAGTTAGAAATAGCAAAGCGCTCCTTTCTAACCCTTTCCAATGCACAATTCAAGACAAGCGCTCTAAATTATCCACAAGAAGAAAATAAACGGAGAAATCAACAAGGATTGAATAAATTAACAGAAGCGGTCTAATTTCTTCAATAATATTATTCCCTCTTCAAGTTATCAACCAAAAGCATGCATCAATAACCTAAAGTTGCTACTTTGGAAAGATTAATTAGATGCAAGCGAATCCAATAATTCTAACCTAGCAATTGATTAAAGCAAATCATGAAATTAATTCAAGGAACAATATATATTCAATAGATATTAAGAGAAGAATGATCTCACAATTCGTAGCTAAAAGCTTCAATCTTTAACCAAGAATCCGGAAGATTAAGCTTCCATGGATTTTAATTCCAAAACAACGAATTCTGAAAATTCCAAGAAAACCCTAGAAAGCTTTTTTTCTCAAAACTTAATTCTCCTTTTCTAACTTAAAACTTAATTAAAACAAAGTTATTTATATGTTTCAATATTTTAATAACATAACACAATAATAATAATAAAATAATATCCAAAACACGAGCCAAAACAAAGCCAAATTGCTGAACATTAACCAAAACAGTCCGAATTTCTGCCAGAGCCGCTGCCAGCTGCTCTGGACCCGCTGGCAGCTGCTCTGGCAGCCCCTCACTCTGGTATACCCGCTGCCAGCGGCTCTGGCCAGCTGGCAGCGGTTCCTGCTGTTTTTGCCTTCTTTCCTTGCTTCTTCTTCTTGCTTTGCTTCACCTTTTCCTCAAGCTTTCTTCCTTGATCTTCCATGCTCCATCACAACTCTCAAATCACGAGCCAAGGTCCATCCTTCTTACATAACTCTTCATTGGTTCCCCAGCTCACTCACTCACTTATACTCATAAATCCTGTCTTTTGCACATAAGTGAGATCACAGCTCAAAAATCACAAAAGCTAACAAATGTACATATAAAGCATCAAAACACACCCTAAAATGCTTCTCTCAACCCATGATAAGAAGGCTTATCACCTGTGGTGCGCATATGGCTGTGCATCGTTGGTGCGTGGCTGTGTAGCGAGGAGGCATCTGTTGTGTAGTGCGCTGGTGCGTGGGCCTTAGGCTACTGGTGTGCTTGTGCTGCTGCTGGGCAGCGAGGCAGCAAGCCCCAGCCAGCCAGCCCACTGCTGCCTGCGCCAGCAAGCTGCTAGCATGCGTAGCCTGCTGCTGGTGCTAGCTAGCAAGGAAAGCTGTGCTAGGCACACTTGCTAGCTGCCAGCACCACGCACCATGGCGCAGGGCCATGGGCTGCCTAGCAGCCATGGTGCACACCCTCAAAGGGTTTTGTGGGACGTTTTGCTTAATGTTTGAGCTATGCAGTTTTGCAAATTTTTCCGATTTTAAAATATTTTGGTAATTATTTTAACGAGGCTAAAAACCTTGATTTTCGATTTTGCAAAATTTTGACAAATTATGGGTTATGCCGACTTAATTAATCGGATTAATTAAGTACAAATGCGGAATTTAGTGGGAGCTTAGTAGATTACTTGAGCCTTTTAGAAATAATGGATTAAACCACTTTGACTAGTTTTAATTAGGCGCGTTAATTGGATTAACCACCTAAGTTAGTTACTAGTTTTGCGTGTTTAATTATGTATTTCGTAAAATTGCATGGGCCATTCACAAATAGTGAATGGGTGAATGGAAGATTGTTTTCAAAACAGGTCTTTGAAAATGGCAACTAGTGGGGCCCGACTAGGATAGAAAATACGGACTGCGTTCCGTTATGTATTTTTGTAAATCTAAATACATTCTGCGAACCGTTAAGTATTTTTGTACTATTAGATTAATCTTAGTCATTCTAGCTAGCTTCTTTTATTTCATTTTGGCCAAGATGTCTCAAAACGGCGTTTCGATGAAGACGAGCCAAGATGAAGACCCATGGAAATTGAAGATTTCAAGGGGTCATGCTAGTTGCCAAATGCATCTATTTTATGCCTTATATATTGTTATTATATATGATTGCTAGATGCATGTCTAGGATTTCTATTATGTTGCGACGATTAGTTATGTTCACTTAAATCAACCAACATAGAAACCCTAGGTCCCTTTAATAATATTGAGCTAAAATATGTCGTTCCAAGAACAACACTTATCGAACTAATGCGCGTAAGTGATGGATTACGCCAAAGCGAGGCATCACTACTTCCCTAGGAACGTAAGGTATACTAGGTATACGAGTTGTCTTGGTTAAACTCAACGATATCAGTAAGGAGTCCTTAGATGTCGTGGCAAAAGAGATAAAATGTCAAGAATGCATTGGATGCGACATTTTATCAAACCGAGAGTAGCTTGGAGCTATTAGCAATTGGATTTCTTACCTTAAGATATTTAATGATTAAGACAAGCCAAAGCATGCTTAACCATTTCTTGATCTTTGGGATCTCGAAATCATTTTAATATCGCCCATAAGGGACAATTTTTAAATGCGTGGATAAAATGCTCAATAAGATTGAATATATGCATGAACGTTTTAAATTTCAACTTATTGATGTATGAATGGTTTTTCACTTCAAATTCTTTCAATTGTAGAACAATGTCTGCAAGTAACTCAAACAACAACCAAATGTGCCCGGAACTCCCCGAAAAGTTGGCCTTTCCCTTAAACTTGGTCAACTTTAAGGAATGGGAGGAGGAACTCAGGAGAACTCTCCGGAATTATTCCTTGGAGCATACTCTTTATACTCCCATTCCAAGCTTCTATGCCAAAGGGATCATGACCGACGAGGCTCATGAAGAATGGTCTTCCAATTGCAAAAGGGTCTCACGACTCATGGCAAATTCCATCCTGGAAGATTGGATGGAAACTCTTTCCTCCTACCTTCCGGACATGTTCCTTAAAGCACTTGAGGACGTTGTCAATGTTAGAGTCACAAAGAGTGACAATGGCAACTTTGATGGACTCGTGTTTGACTTGACTAGGTCACTCTCAAACATGAGGATAAAGCCACCAAACGTGGGATGTCTTGCTAAGGAAAGGCGACGACTTTGGACCAAGGTCTATAATGCAAAATTGAGACCCGACATGCCCCTCCGACCTCATGTTCTTGGTATGACTAGGCTCTTCAAACACATGCAGCTTATCGGAATCTCGATAGAGGATGAGATGGCGGGGCATATCTTGCTTGCTTCGCTCCACTCGGGCTATGATGCACTTAGAGTGCATATAGCTGCGGGAAAGGAGACATGCTCCCTCAAGGAGGTGGTGCAACTCCTTAGCCGAGCTACCGCCTATGGAGTGACCAAAAGGGCCTTGAGAGCTAAGAAGAAGGAGTTCAAGAAGGTCAAGGAAAGGATGCGTTGCTTCTATTGTGGTGGGTAACACCACTACAAGAGAGAATGCAAGCTCTTTCGGGAAGAGGAGGAGAGGAATGGAGCATCCGCCTCAGGTATCTTCCTTAACACTTGTGAATTAAGCTTATCATAGGTATTATATACCAAGTATGACTCACTTAATGTTGCCTTTCCAGGGACCAAGTGAGAAGCTTATCAAGTGTTGGTGCAAGAGAAATAAGACGACGAAGATGGTTTTTCGGTCGTGCTTGCATGCACCATTTTGTCTTTGACATGTAATTAAACTAATTCTAGTTTTTCATCATGCCTTTTGAACATATTATGATCCACGGTGTTGGACACCTAGGAATTTCAGATGTAAGACTTTGACAATAGTTGTTTCAAGTTTGTCTTACAAATTTATGTTCAATAAAATTGCATGTTTTTACATATGACTAGACAAAAGTTGATACCACTAGCTAAGACCATCGAGTCGAATCAAACCTACTTGTGGCATTATCGTCTTGGCC